TAAACAAAGCAATCTCAGTTATAAAATAGAAAAAAAACAATATAACAATTCTTTAAATTCTTTAAATAGCTTTTACATTCTAAAATTGAGTACGTTTTGAGAATTTAAGTTCATGAGGTTTATCAAACAACTTGCCATTGATAAGTTTTCCCCGCCCGTTAGTGATTGTGACTTCACCTCATTAATAAACTAACGGTCGCGCTACCAGCTCTCAGTGTCAAACTCTTCAGCTGTGGACCTTTTCCGCATTGCCAAGCTCTTAGTCTCAAACATGGGTAAGTCATTGCTTTGAAGACCATCATGACTGTTTGTCAAGAGACTCCACAAATGCTTAATTATATTTATGAAATAATAATTCAGAACAAATCATATTGTAAATAATTTCCCCCCAAAATAATTGAGATATATAAAATAAAATATTTATTTTTACTTCATGTGGTTACACCACACATTTTTTATGAGGCATTACATTTAAACTTTTCTTAAAAATGTTTATTTCTTTTTTTTTCAAAACCATATGAACCAACATGAATACATTTTTAAGAACTTGTAACATTTTAAACTAGATTTTAAAAGCTTTTTAAAAAAAAATTTTTTTTTATTAACTTTATTTCATACATTCATATATGTAATTAACCCAAATTAATAGGAGCAAATGAACAGAAACCGCTGATCTATGTACATAATTTAACTCTCAGATGGCACAAATATTCACTCAACTGGCATTCTGTTTATTGATCTAATTATAGGAGCAACTATAACAATAACAACAACAACATAGAGGAACAATATCCTTAGAATCACTTTTTTTTTAGAACTTTTTCTTTTCAGGTAATGAATGGTAAAACATTGACAGCCAATCAAAATCAATCTGACTTTAAATTATGTGCTGTGAGAATGTGCAGATGTGAGAATGTATCATTGTAATATAGTTACACTATAGTTACCATGTAGTTTTTTTTCTTGGTGTGAATGGGCCTTAAGACCTGGGAAATCCATTGTTCCATGAATGGTAAGTGACTTTTGGATATGATTCCCCTTTTTTCCACCATTTCCTGTATGGAATGACAAAGTGAAAACTTCAAAAACAGACAATATATTCTCAAAGCTGGCCAAATCTGCAAAAACTGGCTTGTATCCTACATATTTTCCTTTCTTTATTCTCTTCTGAGACATGCCATTTAACATTTCCAAAGGAATAATAAACAGTCTTCAGAAGAGATTGGAGTTCAGTTAGGTTTGAACCTCCCTCACGTTTCCCTGTTTTCATTCCCCCTTCTGAGACTGTTTTCATTTATTCTGGTAGAAAACAAATCTGCTTGCTCTTGCAATCACAGCAGTGGATCTTGAGGCTGTGAGTGATTTCTCGAGTGTGGTAAGAACCTTCCTCTTGAAATCTGCTCACTGGTAGTCTAAGAGGAAACTCTGGATTTTCTGTGTCCCTGAGCAGTATTAAAACACCATGATCCCAGACCACAAATAGAAAATCGGGGAATGTGTTTGATAAACTGTTAATTAATAGCATGTTTACTAGCTTAGACTTGCAAATACATTTGGCTTTTTATTGTGTCCTAATAGCCATATTTCTTCCAAATCCATCACCTCTGAGGAGAACATTAGATAAAAAGACGTAGACACTTATGCAACTAGTGTCTAAACCAGTAAAATATTAGGAGACATATCATGGCCTGCGGTGAATTCCCACTGTCTGTCAGTCTAGTAATGCAAAGCCTTTAGTGGAAACTAGACCCTGGAGCAGTATCAACTGCTGATGGGATATACAGACATCTGTGCTGGAAGCGCATAAGTCTTTTGCTCCGCAGTATTTTTGTTAGTCTGCTTACTGATTTTAGTGTACGGCCAGAATAAATAATCTTTCAATGAGATGAAGATTGTTTTAAAGACAACTATTTGCCATTGTGCACAGTTTAGTCCATTGAATTGTTTCCTTTTATTGTATCATATTGTTCTGTGTAGCTTCTTATTCTTGGTATTTCTAATCTTAAAGGCTTTGGGTGTAGCCAAGTCCACTGTGACCACGGCTCTATTCAGACCCCTGCGGAATCCATGCAATGTGACGCAACCGACCTGACCTTTCAGTACAATAGCTACTGTAGCAACGCTCAGGGTCAGTTAAGTAACAAACACAATAGCACATGTCGAAACAAATGCTTCACATCTTGGCTCAGTGTTTGAATTGGTTCTCAGATAAACAGTTATTCTTTAGTCTGTTGTTTTTGAGTCATATGTGCATTTAGCATTTAACTTTCATTCAACATATTCTTTATTCTTGTATATCATATTCTACATTGAAGTAATCTGTTCATTCAGAAAAAGAAAAAAATCTGATTATATACTGACCTGTATGCCCTTTTTTATTTTTATTTTCTATTGTAGCGGAAGGAAAATTTGATATGAGATTTTGAGTTGTCCATACATCAACAGTTTTAGTGACCAAGTCTGTCAAGCTCCAAAATGACAACAACAAAAAAAATCACACGTGAAAAGTAGTCTTTATGACTACATTTGACAACAGGCTTGATGGATCTGCGATGAAGGACACGATTTCCGGACCGGTGACAGGTGTAGTGCCGAATTCTTCACCCCTGTCAGATTATGCATCCCCTAGTATTGGTAGGTTTAGGAGTAGGTGTGGGTGCACCCCTGTCAAATTATGCATCCCCTAGTATTGGTAGGTTTAGGAGTAGGTGTGGGTGCACCCCTGCCAGATTATGCACCCCCTCGTTGAAGTCGCTAACTGATTGCCTAAACCTACCAATACTAGGGGAGTGCATTCTCAGGCAGGGTGCAGAATTCGACACAACAGTGTAATTTCCTAACTGTGAGTGAAGAAGACAAAAAGTTTGCAATCTGTAATACATGTAGGGTCAAAGTAAACCTTGGGGGAACCACATGGCTTGATTAATGCATGTCTGGGACAAGTATATTTTTTTAAAGGGGTAAGTGAGAGAGAATTTTACTTTCCCGATTGGACAAGAATCCTGATTAAAACATCAATAACAAAAATAACAAGGGAAGCACTGAAACTTGGCCACCAAAAAATTTCACACGAGAATAATTCTGGAGAATAATTCTGGAATCTTTATTTTGAGAATTTTGTTTTGAATTCTTGAATTTTTGAATGACTTTCTCTCTCTCTCACACACACACACACACACACACACACTTTGCTTCTTTCTTTGCTGTAGTAGACTTGTCTGTCTTGAGGTGTGTAGGTGGAATTCAGAACAATAACTAGGTTTATAAGTAGCATGCTGTCAAACTCGTCTATTTCACAAGCCTTGTCAGCAAGTTACTGTGAATTACAGTCTTTGCCCTTTCTTTCTGCCAGACAAAAAGACTATGTGTCTTTATTGTAAATGTCAGATTACTACTTTCCATCTTGCATTACGTGACTGTTCACATTCACTGTGTGCACTATAGAGAGTTGTATCACACAGCATTAGAGTGTTTATTTCTAGTCTCTTAATGGAATGATATTACACTAATACAGTCTCTTAATCTATAGTTCAATCTATTGCTTATGTTGAAGCAGAGGGTATTCATAAGTGCAGGCATGCTTTTTTTCTTATCTGTGTTCATACTTCCTTGCATGATGCATATGATTCGCTTGACTGAATTTGGAAAGGAAACACTCCCCCTGAGAACCATGAATGTGGCATCTTACAAGCAGTAGGAGGAGGATAGATAAACAAAACATGTGCATGTTCATGTCACTTGTTGCAGTATCTGATCCAAAGACCAAGCAGATTTTTGATCTGTAGAGGGCGTAACAATAGTAACTAATGCATCACTTTGCACTCAAGGGTTCTCATTAATGGTTCTCATTAAGTGGGAATGGCCATAGAAAAATAATTAATAATAATAATTATAATTATTATTTATTATTATAACAACAACAACAACGATAATAACAGGCCTAAATTTAAAATAATCTAACTTCTAAATTGAAATGCTAAAAAAACACATCAAGTAAACTGAAATAAATTCCCCAAATAATTTTTTATTTTTTTGAAGAACATACAGTTCTGGAACAAAACCTAACTTGTGGAAAAATTTATCATGGTTAATTTAAAATGTTAAATGAGTTAACCGCATTAGTTAATTTAATATATAAAAAAGTTTGAAAACAAACATCATAATATTGTCATTATTACATCTGAAATATCGAAAATATCTTAGCGTAATTGAGAAATATTGATGCATTGGGAATCAGATGCACAGTAATGAACATTTGTGCTCTGTAAGAATCCTTTTGACTTGTACACTATGAAATAAGTTTTTTTCAGCTACATCAGCTTTTTCTTGAAACCATTCATAACCATTGCTATTAAAAGTATATTTCATGCTGCCATTTTGGCCTTTCGACTGAGAGAGGCCATAATTTATGATTTCATTATGACAATACATGCGTGATTTTTACATGACATGGCTTTAACCAACATCACTCTGGTCTTTCAGATCAGTACAGTGTCAGCTGTAGATAACAACATAGTAAACATCAGGAACAAATGGGATAATTTACTATTATCTTCATATCACTAGCTGATCTGGTCATATAAGATAAGTGAGAGAAAGAGACTGAGGGGGTAGCATCCTTTTGTCAACCCACTCATATTTTTGCTCTACAGTGGGGAGTATGAACAAAAACTTTATGGTATGATATCATGGTATGAGTAATTTTATTACAAGGTAATGTACATACTGCATCACAAATGTAGTTTATATACAGTAAACACACACACACACACACACACACACATAATTAATAATGTAAAGTCAATTAAAAACTTTGGACCCACTTTATATTAAGTGGCCTTAACAACTATGTACTTACATTTAAATTTATAATTTGGTACAATGCACTTATTGTGTACATACATGTTTTTACATTGTACTTATATTTTAAAAATACCTGTATGTAATTACATCTGTAATTACATTTATAATTACACTGTTGACCCATCCCTTACATCTTAACCCACCCTTAAACCTACCCATACCACCAAACCTGTCCCTAACCTTACCCATATCCCACCTCAATAGCAGCAACAGTGTTTTGCAATACAATATGAACACAATAAGTACATTGTACTTAATTTTATTCTAGCTTAAAGCATTCTTTTTTTTTATCAACACTTAAATATAGGTAGGTTTCATAAAAATGCATAATTTTGAGCAAAAAGGTGAGAAAATCTAATTTTTATCAAAAACTACATCTGGGTAATATTCAGTACGATTATCAAAGCATAAA